TAACGGCCCGCCCCTGCCCGCCCCCGGCCAGGCTATTTCTTGGCGAAGGAAATCTTCATGGCGTTGCTCTGCGTGATCTTGAAGCCCTGCAGGGCTTCCCGCGCCGCCCCGGCCTGCACTTCGTTTTCGAACTCCACGAAGGCGATGTCATGCCGCCCCGGGACCAGGCGCACCTCTTTAAAGCCCGGGAACCTGAGAGAGGAGAGAGGGCAGAGGTCAGGGAGCAGGCAGGCGCCACTCACCACTCCCGTCAGCCGTGCTGCAGGAGACGCAGCTGCGCCTGGTCCAGCTCCCTGGGATGAACAGTGCTACACGCACTTGAAAACAAGCCTACCATCTTCATGAGCCTGTTTCTCTCAGGGCAACAGAGCCCAAGAACTTCTCCTGGATTCGGCTCTGCAAGTGCTTGAGCTATTGCCGTTTTAATTAACACGAGGTGAGGGGTCTCAGAACTGAAAAAACTGGACCACTGCCCATGTTCACCATGCGATAAGAAAATTGCCCCAGACTACGACATGGACAAGTTTCCTGTTGTCCCTGTGATTTAGTGTAGCGATGGTTGTTGTGGTGAAGCTGTATGCGTCACACCTCAGGGTGCACTGCGAGGGCAGCTCTACCGAGACAGGCGACACCTCAACACACTTTTGAAGGATTTTGTTTTTGTGAGGGGGGCACACAGCTAAGGCAGTTTAAAAATAAGCAAATATGCTTTTTAAAACACACAGTCAAGTGGCACTGATATTGAGACACACCCCCAGTCATCACTCTACTGGTAATTATTCACTTGTGTTGACAATAGCAATGGTAGCAACATTAATTTCAAAATCTAAAAATACAACAGGTGCACCATCCGAACCCTGGAGTTTAGACAGGATCTTTTAACTACAAGATCAGACAAATCTTTTTCCTTCACTGTTTACCACTGCCCCTCTCAGAGTGATGAACCTTAGAAACCCATGAATGAACTAGTTTCTTGCCTCTAGGAAAGCGAGAGGCCAGACACAGAAAGGGCACGACGACAGGCCACCCGGGAAACACTTACTGATTGAAGAGCATGGACAGCATCAGCTCGTTGGTCTCCTCGGGGAGGTTGGTGAGGAACAGAATGTGGTTGGGCGGGTTCTCAGGCACCTGGAACAGAGGAACCAGAAAAAAAAGTTACTGTGAGTAATAGAAAAAATTCAAAGTCAGGACACGGGTCCGTATGGTCTCAGTAATCAGGCTGTAAAAGAGATCCCTGCTTTCTTTTTTCACCATTCTCCTCATGATATTCAGTGAACGACGTCAAGAAAAATACATGAGCTTCCGAGAACTGCTTGTATTTGCGGATTCCTCCAAAACAATCTGATCTTCTGCAAGTGCTGAGGCTGCTGACAGAAAATTATTCATTTTTTACTGCTCAGTGTGAGGTCAGCCAGGGGGTTCAGCACCTGGTTCCCCAGGACATTCTGGGGTAATATCCTTTTATCTGTTGCTGCTTTGGCAGCGGGTCATCAGACTGGTCATGAGTTTGACCAGAACATGAGATCTGCTCTCAATAAAACACACAAAAAAAACCAAATACGCAACATTTAAAATATGATATTAAACAACTAGCAATCTTATCTGCAATAAACTGATACCAATCAGAAAGGAAAATTCACTGCAGGAGCTACAGGAGCAGCAAGCGATGAGATACACACCTGAGCATGAGGCATCTGCCCTGGCATCATTGCTCCAGGCGGCATTGCGCCAGGGGGCATCTGTCCGGGACCCATCCCAGGAGGTGGCATCATGCCCGGCGGGGGCATATAGGGGGGCTGTCCGGGCATCGGCATCATTCGAGGAGCCTGGGTCATGGGTGGCATGCCCTGCAAACAACAGGCATGCGAACACAGAGGGCGTCAGTCCTCCACCGCTACACACCACCAGTGCCAGTCCCCGAGAAACCCTGGTGTTTTAAGAACTGCTTTACACTGCAGGCCGACACTTGCACGGTGGAGTCAAGTACATCAACAAAGTTCCATGTTCTACGCAGAGTGTTCAGGCTAATAAATACAGGCTGCACGGCAAGATACCTGGCCAACAGAATCAATCAGCTGCAGGCACACCTGTGCACCAAGAAGCAGTGCAGCTGAGTACAAACACCGAACGTCGCACACCTGCACGTCAAGGCCTGTGGTCACACTGAGCTGACGTGTGGTTGTTGACCAGCAGAGCACACTTCATCGCACTGCGGGGCACCGATTTCACAAAACAGCCGTTTGAGGAGAACAGCTTCGCGAGCTCCCGCCCTTGAGCAGCGTGGGAAGGAGCCCCCCCCCCGGACTCGGCAGGCTTCGCTCACCGGTATGGGCGTGGGCACCCCAGGAGTCATGGGCGCCACGGCCCCTTGCAGCCCCTTCTTCCCTGGCACCTCCTGGCCCTTGACCTTCCTCTTCTCCTTCTTGCGGTCCCGCTCCACGTAGGTGCCCTTCACCTTGGCGATGATGTCCGAGTCCGTCTTGGCGTACTGGATCCGCTGGAAGGCAGGAGAGGGAGACTGTGAGCAGGGACGCTGAACACGAGGCTGTACTCAAAATCTGTTACCTTCCCACTTGGTAAATTACACAACAATGACTAACCAACTAGTACAAAGAAGATAAAAATTTCCCCCTAGGGGACAACAAAGCTTATGGACACGCAGCGTGTCTGTACATCCAAGTATATCACATTATTACATGCACATAACTAATTACAACAGTCTTGACATATCATACATACGTAGCTTGTTACAGCATAAATGGTAAACAGAGATTCGGTTCATATCAGTTATAAATAGTCTATATATTTATCTATTAAAGCAGTTAATATAAGAGAAGAAATTAATACTTCCTTTTGAAAACCCAAGAAAATTTTCCAGAGGGAAGATGATGCTATTCAGGTTCAAGAATATGAAAAGGAGCTGATGTCATTTTTGCACCTGCCTGAACAGGGATTGCACAAGAATTGTCTGCAAGGAGAAGAGCAGCTTGACTCAAGACAGGTGATTTTGTGTTGTCTAGCAGCACTGTCCAGCTCAAATTGTCTAAATATTCTTAAATAACCCTGGGTAATAATTTCCTTGCAAATACACTGCATATGGCCACCAATAACTAACACCGAACACCGATTCTTTAGGTTATTTTTCACATTCAAAGTCATGCTGGTCACATCATTGCACAAACCTAAGAATTTCTGAAATATGGACTCACACTGTAAACTCAAGAGTCTTACTGACCCTGACGCACTGTGCGATTTGTTAAAAACGATAACAGAATTAACAGACAACTGCTTCAGCTTGCTAATCAAAAGATGAGACTGCAGGTTAACAAATGCAGAGCTGAAGTCAACAAACAGCTGTCGGGCAAAGGGATCGGGGGTCCTCTAGGTGTTTAAAACAATGTGTAATGCTGTTAATTTCATCAGCACTGCTCCATCAGCATTTATATACAAACCGCTCCCACTGAGTGTTCACATCTGAGCAGAGCACAGATACCGTCATTCTTTCAAACCAATTTATTACAATGGAGGTCAGTGCAACAGATGAACAACATCACATCCATCCATTTTCTAAACCACTTTATCCGAGACAGGATCTCAGGGAAACTGGAACCCACACCCGCAAACAACAGGCGCAAGGAGGGCTACACCCTGGGCAGGACGAAAATCATGCGAGAGGAAACAGTGCCGTGCCTGCCTAGTTTTACTCTGGTGCTTTTTTAACACCTGGGTCGTGCACTCCCGACAAATTCCTGCTTTCATCCGAGAACTTTTACAGTGAAAACCACAACTCCCTAATAAGGACCACAACTCCCTAATAAGGACCACAGCCCCCCCGCCACATGCGCAGCACAAGAAAAGCCACGCTTGCAAGCGAGCGCCGCGGACAGCGGGCCCTACCATGGGCTTGTCGTAGAAGGGGAAGCCCTGCATGGAGCGCAGGGCGTTGGAGGCGCTGTTGACTTCTTTGAAGATGACGAAGGCCTGGCCCCTCATCCTCAGCGAGCGCGACACCAGGATGTCCAGGATCTGGCCGAACTGCGAGAAGATGGCGTACAGGGACTTCTTCAGCTCTGCAAGAAAAGCAAGCCGCCTGAGAAAACCAGGCAGGCCAAGACCTCCCCTCCACACACTAGCGCCCGAGTGATGATCTTTACATCAGCTCCTGTTAATCACTGGAAACTCCATGCATTCAGAAAAAAAAACACATGAAAGATCACAAATGGGGGGTTACAAGACACAGCCCATTTAGTAGTCAGTAGCTAACTGATGACAGGACCTCATCTGGCGGTTTCCTGTGAATCCAGGGTATCATCAAACCACATGGCTGGGTAGCCTGTTACACACTCCCACCCCCATGTTTGTAAAGGACAAAGCCATGATAAATCACAGGGAATTATTTTACTGTTACACACAAGAGCCGGTGCGACACTGGCCTCCCTCAGGCCCATCTGCGCCAGACATCACCCAGAGGCCTACTATCCAGCAGACCCAACCTCCCGTCACACGTCAACACTGCTGCAATCACACACGTCCCAGTCAGAAACACAACATCGACACGGTTATGATCCGGGGGCCATCCGCCCTGCTTGAACAAACGGGGCAGACGGGTGGAGAGCCTTCCTCACACGTCACCTCTCCCCTGCGACACGAGGGGTCTGCTGGGGGCACCTACCATCCTTCTTGATCTTCTCGTTGAGGTTGTTGATGTAGATGGTGTGGTTCGGGCGAAGCTCCTGCATAGCCATGGCTGCTGAGGACACTGGGAAAGAAAGAGCACAGCTCAGAACCCGGTCCCTTCTGCTGCACAGCTGCACGAAACCAGAATCGACACTTTCTGGATGAACAAGACGACTTCTGTGTACTATGTAATAATGAGAAGGAATCTTCGTCACATTTGTTTGTTAACTGCATATATACAAAACTGTTTTTGACAGATCTGCAAAATGTTATTGCTCAACATGTAAAGGCAAATGTTAAATCGAAAGATTTTGATATTATTTTATATTTCGTTAGAACTGGTTTGGAAAAAAGGATAT